TTTTTTTTTTTTTTTTTTTTTTTTTTTTTTTTTTTTTTTTTTTTTTTTTTTTTTAGAATTGTAAAAGAAAAAAATTCGAAGTCATAGAAAAATTACTGTGAGAAAATAAAACTAAAATTTGTTAATAAATTAATTGCTTTGGGTAAAGGTGTGCAGAAGAGTAACACGGTACGGTTGGCAGATATACATATATGGTGAGAAAGGGGAAGTGTGTAGAGAACAGTATAGGTGAGGGGGACGGGGTAAGGGGAGAAACTTGAGTGGAAGAGACTTCTGATTCAAAAAAAAAAAATATGTTAAAAAATTAATTGCTTGATGGGGAAATGGTGGGTAAAGGTGTGCAGAAGAGTAACACGGCACGGTTGGCAGATATACATACATAGTGAGGAGAGGGGAAGTGTGTAGAGAACAGTAGGTGAGGGGGACGGGGTAAGGGGAGAAACTTGAGTGGAAAAGACTTCTGACTTCTGATTTAAAAAAAAAAAATCTGTCGGTTTTAAAATTCCAGCCCCCCCGAGTAACGCGACATAAAGAACTTCGTTCTAAAAACAATTTTCTTTGGGGGGGGGGGAGATTCCGAAAAAACTTGTTCCCCCGACGATCATGTGATGATTTTCAATTGTTCAATGTTCAAATTTTTTTCTTTTACTTCTAGAAGTCTTAAGGTGGCTCCAGCGCCTAGTGCCGTATCAAAATGGGGAGACTAAAAATTAATAATTATTTTCTTTAAAATATGGTATAAAATTATCGTAGAGACTGTCGTAAGCCATATTCTACATTTTATCTGTTACTTTAGTGAGTTAATATAAAAAAACAAAAAAGTTTTATGGTGCCCTAATTGATGAACTGTTACGGTACGCTCCTAAGTTCAAGATTAGTTATACCTATATATATGTACTCTGCAGAATGCAGACAGCTGAGAGCTGACTTGCACTCGCAACTGTATACTTAGTCTCCGATTATTTAAAGATTTTGTTCGATAACAAGACACTTTTCTCATGTCATCGAAAACTGCGTAATAATATATACAAGATAGTATGTTTTTTACACCTTACGGGTTATTTATATAAGTGCAGCAGTAGGTTGTATATCGCGTAAGCTTGCATTTCATATCTAACCCGTCTTAAAACTACGATTTTGTAAGCATGATTTCTTACAATTTTCATCGTCAACCTTAATTTTTTTTTATACGAATAGAAAGATGGGAATTCAAAGAATATAATTCAATTTTATTAACCTCGGTTGGGTTATTTATAATTTTAACATTGAGGCCACTGGAGCCACCTTAAGAAATGAAAAAATTATGGTGAACTCATAGTTATCGTCTTGACACTTTTTTTTATCGTTTTTTTTTTTTTTTAAGTTTTAATAGTAAATGTCAAAACCCACTTTAGGATGATTTCTACTCATTTCATCATAAATTTGTTCCAAAAAAAACGTAAAAAGTTGTATAATGTAACATTAGTATTAAAAATAAGCTTGAATGTTGTTTTTTAACGTTCAAAAAGAATGACATTACCAAAAGTTATAAAAATTTAAAGCTTGAGGAATAAGTGCCAATGTCACAAATATTCAGATTTTAGAACTGTAACGTTTAACATTTACCACTTTTTCTAATGTTTCAAAATGTAACCTTAAATTTGTACCAAGAAAAATACTTTTTCCTACCTTGGGCTACTTTGAGGGTTGGGTGTACCCTCGGTAGGAAAAATAGGGTTCGCACCTGATGCGCATCCAACCAGGGCAAGCACAAGGAGTCCCTCGGGCCCTACTTTGCAGGTCCTTCGGGCCTGGTGCTTGCTCTGGCGATATGCGCCACCAGGTACGAAAGCTACTATTGGTAAATTGATTAGATTTTAACTGTTTCACTCCTAACTTTACTCCAAAGAATGGCACAATGTGTTTAATTCTAAGGAAACATAATGCACAGAGTAATCTTCACTTTTTTTTTTTTAAAGTTGAAAAACAAGGCCATATTCCATATTTCATAGATATATTATATACTTCTATTTCTAATTAATATTTCTATATTCCATAAAAATCCAACAGAACATGTAAATCACTTAAAACAAACAATTTTAGTGTCAGTGTGCTTTTTTAAAAGTTTTTATTGAGTTTTCAGAGTGAATTTACAATAAAAAGTCTCGACTAATTTCAATTTTTCTCCATATCTATGACGAGGAAAATCATACATAATCCGGTAGACAAGACATGAAAAAATAGTGAATGAGGTCAATTTCGGGAAATAGCGCAGAAACAGTTTTCCAAAGTGTAAAAAAACAGCCAAATATAATTTGTTCCTCTTTTGATCATCTATTGACTTGCGCTAGTTAAATTACCGCAAAGTTGAGTATTTGCATATAAGGCACGACTGATATAAGGGAGTATATTACTGTTATTACCACACTGTGTGAAAATTTGGTACTTTTTGGTGCAGGGTTGGTAAAAAAATGTATACATCCTACGAGACAAAGAGAAGAAAGCCTCAGAGCTCTATGATTAGCGCCCTTCGCTTTGCCTGAAGCGTCAATCGTAAATATTCTGAACAAGCTATTATTTTATCATTTTTTGCGATTCATGGCGTTAATTTTAGCTAACAGACAGAAAAGTGATACCTTGTAAAGATCTATGAGTTTTATATTAAATTTGTAATCTAAAATGTGAAACGAGTATGTTACATAGGGGAAAACGATAGTTTTGCGAGTTTGCGGTATTAATAGTGATTTACAGCGTCAACTTGCTTTCATAACTAAGTATCTTACATGAAAAAAACGTATATTTCAACGAAATCTTTAATTTTTCCTCCCACATTTTATTGATCATCTAAAATGCAAAACAAATAAGTTAGATAGGGAAAAACTACGTTTTTGCGATTTTTGAGCACTTACTGGCTCACAGAACGTTTGGGTTACATCCTGCATACAAATTTTTAGTAAAAAAAGTTGTATTTCAATGAAATCTTCAACTTTGCCTTTTACAGAAAACCTCGAAAATATCACGTAAAAAAAGTTATAGCCAAAAACTGTTTTTTTTCACTGAAAGTACTATTTTAAAATGACTGCCATTTTTTTCTAAAACAGGAAACATTGCTAATTTTAAACCAACATGTAAGATATAAAAGACAAAGCTCTTTGTCAAAATTCAGCCCGATTCGACAAAAACTATACGAGTTAGTCAAAAAAATTGATTACGCCCATACACGCATACATTTACACCCTTGACGCCGAGGTGGGCGGTCGAAATTTTTTTTACCAAAATTTTTTTTACGCAAAAACAATAATTTTCAAGGGTACTCACACTTTATGCTCTGGTGAAACTATAAGGTTCTCCTGAGTTTCAGTCGTGCCTAAAAAGTGCTCAAATTGACATTAAAAATTACAGTTTCCATTATTTTCATTTAGTAGTAGTTTTCTTACCTTGTGGCGTATGTCGCCAGAACAAGCAACAAGGACTCCATTTGGATGCGCACCAGATGTGAACTCTTTTTCCTACTGAAGGCGCAGTAAACGTCCAAAGGTAAAAAAAACAACCCCAAACTAAGAAAAAAATATTACAAGAAGAACTTGGGAATATTGTAAGATCTACCTAGATGCCATCAATTCTTAAATTTTAAAGTAGTTTGATTGAAGAATGGTAAAGTTTCGAATGAACAAGTATAAATTTTTAAATAAGATTTCAGCACTTTTTTGCACTATAATTTTGCGAAAAGACGCTTTGCAATACTGTAACTTTCTCAGATCGATAGATAAATAAAAGAGGAACAAATTATCTTATTCTGTTTTTTTCAGCTCTCACTGCTAAGAGCTAGAATCAAAAGTATGAAAAAAGACTTTGTTATGGTTTAGTATTTGTTTAATAAAAAACGAAGGACATGCCTTGGTGGGACAAATCTATTTTTTCCCAGAATGGGATCATATTATAAAGAGTTTAAAATAGATTCCGCGCTATGTTATCACTCAAATTTGACCTATTTGAATGCTTTGTCTACCAGGTTTTTTTACTGTCCAATATTTTAATAATGTCTCAAAGTATTTGATTTCCAGGATGAGAATAATACAAAAGTATTGGAACAATACTTTAGGAATATTAAAAAAGTAATATCCCGCACTAGAGCATTACAAATTTTTGTACTAATAGTGTAGTTAATTACAATACCGTACTGCAATGACGTATATAAAAAAAAAAAATACAATTATGTAAAATATTGCTGCAATGTTAAGACATCATGCAATTTTATTGTTTTGCAGATAGTAATGTGTATTAGTTGATAGATTTTGTCAATCACACGATAAACGTAACTGCAGTACAATATTTTAGTAATTCACTCAGAACGTAACGTATGAACTGTTTTCACACAATATTACTTTAAAGTAATAAAAATAAATCCAATGTACATTTGAAATTTTGCAAACTACTCAATTTAAAAATAACACGTTTAATATTATGTGGAGCTGAGGTACGTAATAAAAAAACTTATGAGTATAATATTTAATATGTTTTAAATACAGAAGCTTTTAAAAAATCAACTTTCATAAGTATATTGAAATGAGTTGTATCTAGTGGTGAGTAACACATAGGTTGAAAATTTTTTACAATCGAGCATTGTAAACTAAAATTTTATTAGAATTATTCATGTTTCCGTTATGTTTAATTATAATTTTTAATATTAAATATACATTTACTTATAATTAAATATAACGGGTATATAAATAACTCCAATAAATATTTTTCCATTAACTATAGTTCATTGAGATGCATTATGTACGTATCACTGTGCACACATAATGAAGGATTATCGAATTTCAGCGAAGAAAATGTTTGGAAATTATGTCAAGATATTGAAAATCGACATCCCACCGAACTAAAGTATTGTCACGTAGCTTTCGTAAGTAATCAAAATCGTACCGTACCATTGTGGAGGCAGCTCTCTTCCAAAGAAGAAAATAAAATGGTAGTTTGGGTGCGTAATCTAAAAATTAAATACTGCATATACATGCTGAATTAGTCGATTTTGCACGTACCTAATATTTATTTTTATTGCGTGCGCAGGACTATCACGTTATACTTATTTATGCGCCCGACGACAGAGCAGTGGTTTACGATCTTGACAGCGAATTGCCTTTTCCTACATTCTTCTGGAAGTACGCCATGGAGACCTTTCGAAGGGATGAAGCGTTATCTCCTAAATTTCACAGAAAGTTTAGAGTCGTGTCCGCTAGCGATTACCTCAGGACTTTTGCTTCCAACAGGCAACACATGAAAAGAAAAGATGGCACGTGGATCAAAACTCCCCCTGATTATCCTCCAATTTGTACTCCAAGTGAGTTAATAAACTGTTTATTCATTCTCGATATTTCGCGTTAAAATTTTCAATTTTACTACTTCTAACATTTTTGAAACTTTCAATGTTTTACCCAGCCTACCCAGACAACTTGGATAGTTTTATTGAAATGAATCCCGACACAGGTATTGGGAAAATTATGACCTTGAACCAATTGTTCGCTAGATTTTATCGGGAACCAAATCCACCGATCGTTCAAATAAGCCAACAACCAGCACAACAACCAACTGCTCAACAAAATGTCGTTCAACAGCAAGGCCCTATACAACCAGCGCTGTCAAAGCCTACTTCCAAGTAATTTTGTGATCTAATCAACGACAGTTAGAGTAATTTGTTTTTTTTTTATTTTATTTTTATTTTTTCATACATTTGATTATTTATTTATTTTCCGTTTTGCATCAATTGCCCCTATTTCTAATTGAAATGTAACCAAATGCTTTCTATTTCCACTAATAGTTTTATTTTCTAGTAAAATTAAGTACTTTTAGTATGAGTATGTTTTAACACAAAGAAAACAAAAAATACGATGTCATTACAAATTTTCCCGCTTGCTCTTAGACTTTGATAAATCTACACTTATTAACCTTTGTAGAAAAATCACCAACATCACGTACTGATAAGTTTTACAATTTACCATTATTTTGTACTCTAACTTAGAAATTTAAGTGTGTTGATGCTTGAGGTAGTCCCAGTATTGAAATATTACAAGGCCATATGTTTTGTACATTGCACCCCCTACTGATACCTTACCTGCATTCAGTTTAAGTTTAATTTAGTCAAAACAGTTGAAACTAATAGTATAACAAAAAATAATTCATGAGAGGTTATGACTAGAGTTCTTAATGAAATTAAAAGTTTATTTTTTAAATAAAAGTGTTTAAGACTTGTTTTTATAGGATTGGTTGGAAATAATACATAATACTATAAAAAATACGTTAAAATTATTTAAAAAGTTTTCTAATTAAATAAGTGAACACTTACCAAGCCTGAGTAGCTATGAATAATATAAAATTTTCAATCCACGCATGAGCCTTGGATCTCGAAGTTGATGTTGTTGGACAAATAGCCACATTTTATGGGTTTCTCTTTAATTACTAAAGCTTGATAAATTTTTATTTGTTAAGAAAGAATCTCTCACTGATTGTGGAGGAATAATTCTCTGTGTATTTCTCTTTCTATATTATCTACTATGTATGAAAAAATATTTCTGTGAGACTTACAATGAAAAACCTACCGAACAATCTGTTTTTTTTTAAACATATTTAATATTTTCATGATAGTCTGTAAAAACTGAAATTTTTACTATTTGAGAATAGCGGCCTTGTTCTTACAATATTTTTTAAGCAACTTTAAATTTTACTGCATTATTTCTTATAATACCTGTTTTCAACTATGTGGCTGCAATTAACTTCAATATCTGTTAGACATTACAATTTTCGTTAGTAGGTAATTGTATTGCTTAAATTAATACATATCTTGTTTAAGAATAACAAAATTTTTATTCAATCCATTTAAGCACTACGATGCACATATTGCATATGAAGAAAAAAAAATCAATAAAAGATACCCATTTTTTCAATTTCAGTATGTAAGACAAATGAGGATCCCGTTTTTGTCCCTCATTAAAACACAAAAAATTTTTTTGAGGCACACCTTCGATATAGGGCTCATTTTACTAATGCCACGTACTATGAGGAAAAAATTTTGAACACGAGGCTTAGTGAAGGTGACACCCTTTTTCCGCAATTTACATGTTAATATTATATTTATGTATGTGATATATTATCACGTTTCCACTAACAAATCAAACTTTTCTTTAACATGAAATTTATTAAACATTAAATTTTTTTATGTTATCGATAATTTTTTTAAATTAACGTATTGGTACTAGTTTTTAAGTTAAAAATATATCTTTTAANTTAATTGCAATTGCTGATCACGTTCGGTAATATGGTGCTCCACTGTACGTGGACATCGGTATTATATTCTTGGACAAGTGCCGAGCATCTCCTTGGTCATACTCGACATCGTAGTATATACCACTTTGATTCTGAAATGTAATTCATCATTTATTAGAGAACTCTGAAGTTTATATATTTTTTTTAAACGTATAAAACTGTACATTTACAGTATTTTGTCTTGTGGACCAGTCAAACGAAATATCAAAACCCTTATTTCAAATATGAAATATGTACAAGTCAGTTTGGCTGCTTATTGATATAATATGCTGGTGGCTAAAAACAACAGTCAACAACTTCAAACTCACAAATACAACAATAATTTTTAATTAATTTACTAAGTAATGAGGAACTGAGGTTTGTTTTGTGTCCATTTTTAATGCCTAAAGTATAGCACCCTATGAATAAAAAATTCTACGACTTCAGAATTTATTTTCTTTAACTCCATCGGTCACTGAAATAAGTACCTTATCAAAGAGTTTGCAAACATATATTACTGTCTGAGACCTATTGATGGATTACAAATATGTTGACGGATTCCCCAATTTCCTTTGAAAAAATTTCTTGAATAAATACCGATGATAATAAAAATACTTGTAATTTTAATGACATTAAAAAAGTATAAATAATTATAAACAGGGCTAGTAAATTATGTGAGGGCCCTTCTGCTACTTATTTTGGATGAGATAAGTTGTATGAACAATATTGGAATCACCAGCAAATCATGGTATTAGGAGATGCATTGAAAATACACCAGCAGTTTAGGCTCAGGATTACAATAAGATATGCATAATTACAAGTTGATCAGAAAAAGATTTCGTTTGAGTAATTACGTAAGCTACTATTTCTCACCCAATTTTCCCATAAGTCCAAAAATAGGATAAATGACCTCGAAAATTTTGTCAAATATAGATGAAACATGACCTCTTAATGTTCAAAGATTTTGATTCCAGAAACGTAGAATAAAATGGCCCAAAAGAAATACGGAAGGATGCATCACAATGCCTGTGATAGTAAGACTATAGATGATACGAAATTTTGAGAGGTCAATATTGGACATAATCTTTTGTACATGCAAGAATCTTACATCATGAACTCAAGGGTGGACGGTAATTGAAGACGATAACGGCAATGATATGCAATGTAAATGTTTTTCAAAAAAAAAAATTACCACATTTATTGGAAGCAAAAAAGAAGCAAGTTCGAAATCTCATGAATATTTCCACGATAAAAATGAGATTTGAGAGGTTCTCTGCTAGCTCTCGTAGTGTGTATGCTTTTTTTCAGACCAACTTGATCAGAAATAATACTCTTGCTTAGTTTGGTGCTAGAAAAAGTACCATTTCTGATCAAGTGTGTCCAACAAATTTTTCAGTATGTGTTTTCCGTAATGCACCATTTAATCGTCGTTGTGATTATTATTTAATTTTAATAAATAATTATGTTTTCAAAAGTAATAAATGTACAATAATTCTATTTTTTTTTTAAGTCACATAAGTACTCATTCAGGATTAATTTTTTGCATTTGCTCGCAGTAAAACTGTTTTTAACTGAAAATTTACGCTGATTCAATCGTAAAAAATATATTGGATATAACTAAACATTAATATGCTAAAAATAAGAATATTTATTCGAATCTTATAAAATGTTTATTTCTTTGTATTATAGTCAATAATTTATTTAAATCAGTAAAAAAAATTTTTCGACCGATCCTAATTTTTTTCTCAGTGTACACTAATGTAAGATCAGTGTTCACGTTCACTTTTCACGATACCAATTACTTTCTATACATTGTAAACTTTAAATGATTGAAAAATCACCTTAAACCTTTACCTTCATGATCTATATTTTGTGTACGATTCACATTCCGTTTTGATTAATGTTGTGTATGCACTAACAAAAGTTTTTTTTTATGTTATAGCGATGGTCTTCGAAAATGCACAGAAGTACCAAGCGCTTTTGTGTGAGCAGATTGACAGAAAATTTTGGAAACACTAATTTTTCGACATCGCGTGAAAAAAAAAAAAATAATAAATAAATCAAAAATCAAAAATTAGCTTCGATTTGAGAGTATACTATGCGTACAGCTTTTACTTTTTGTATGCTTTTAAAAACAGATTTCTAAGGATGAAAAATATGTCTTCTTCACTGCCCTACGTGGTTGTTTTTAAACGTTTTTACTGTGTAAAGTAACGTTACCATATTATTAAAATTCGTCACACTTTTTATATTATAATTGACAGTCGGTAGTTTTTAGAGTGCAATAGAAATGCTTTTCTCCATTTTTTTATCGATGCATTTTACAGGTAAGTTTTGCACAAAATCGAAAAAATGTGATTTATTCTTAAGATTTTTGGCAGTGAAAAGCTCGTAATCAACTAAAACTGGTTAACTTTTTTGCAAATCTATAAAAATTTACAAGTTGACTTGTACATTTACTGAATTATATTTGTCAACAAAATTATTACTCGGTGACTTGGTAAAAATCATTCAGCTTTCAATGATATAGACATAGATTGTTTCAAAAACGCGAGAGCGCATATTAACTTAGGGGTCACGACCTTTACGGGCAGCTGCGTATTTATAACTAATGATGCTTGACATAGTCGTACCAAAGACTGATTGTAGTAAAATAACATGAATATTTCTACAACGGAATTAGTTAATCTATGTAGCCCATTTCGTCAACCTTTGATGTGATTGATGCGCTTGTGTCAACTATGCGATAGTTTTTAGGTATTTGTACCTATTTATTACTTAAACCGTTTTATTCCAGTTCTTTAGACTACTTCATTGACGATTAATTGTCAACTCTAGTCAAGTGCATAAAAACGAATGTCATAGTTGTTGCGTGCATGTTTTTTACGATGTACATTCATTATTGTAAAAATATAGAGTTTACGAAATTGCAATCTCTCGTATTTACGGTCGGCAAAGTTCTTGCATTGATTCCATTTCAATTGTTGAGTATATCTTTAAGGTATATATTACATTGAGATATTATATTACATTAAGAAATAAATATTGGTTTCTTGCAATGTGATCTTTACACTATATTTCGAAATAAACTTACGTCTATGAATTTGAGCCTTATTGAAATGTAATAAATCATTCTAGTTCTTGTGATATTTTACACTTTCTACTTTTTAATACCTGTTCTATGTAAATATACGTATACACATGAGTGTATAATACGTACCGTTTACAATATCTATAAATATAAAAATATATATATATATATATATATATATGTCATCTACTGCTCATGTCTACTATCCTATACTATATATGGTAAATTCTCNGAAATATATATATATATTACACATTGATTGTGAAAAGTAAATAAACGGCAACCGTATTTGTTCATTGGCAAACTATAAATTATCCCAGTAACTTTTGATCGATTTCTTATTAAATTAGTTTTTAATGACACTGAACCAACGAACGGTTTGTTATTGTGAAACAATTATTGATTATTCCCACAATGAAAATTTTCCATCGTATTTCTATTGTTTCACAGGATAAATTTTCTATTGTTATACTGTTATATTGTTATGAATAATTTAAGAATTAGTGTGATCGGATATTAGATTTTGGAAATGTCCTTGAGCGGAGAACAAAAATGTATTTTACGTTATTAAAAGAGAAGGTCGTCACAACTGTACTTTTGGAACATATGTAAAGCAGACGCAATAATCAGTTATATATGTATGACGAATATGCTTTATTATTCTCGTCCTTATAAGATGCAAATAATTTTAATCTATCAAAATAACTTAAGTGTCTGATTATAGTTTACCGTTGCGTCAACAGTTTCGATAGTTCGTCCACTTTTTGCCTTCCAAAAATCTTTGCACTTCTCACTTATACATACATACCTCTCTCTTTCTATCGTATACATGTTTAAGGAAGAACCCAAGTTACTTCTTGAAAAAAAAAAAATAATAATAATTACTTCTACATACCCTTAGAGTCATAACGGCAGATGAAAAGGTTTACGTGCTTCTAAAAGATATAAGAACATTTTCTAAAGAAAATTAACACTTTTGCTGCTGTAATTTTTTCAGTAATAAGTTTTATTCGATAAATAAATGTTACAATAATAAATCTTCTACATAATCGAACGAAGAAGACGAAAAAATGAATCATTATTAAAACTGACGTACACAATTTCTTTGTGAAACTTAAAATACTTTTATCGAAGACTGCTGCATTTATCATCAACAGATATGTCTACAAATAAGATAATGTTATTAAGTTATAAATATATTATATATACATATTGTACATAAATATATGCGAATGTACATTAGAATTAATTACTATTGTGTTTAAACTATTTAAGACATGTAAATGTTTTTCAAAAAAAAAAATTACCACATTTATTGGAAGCAAAAAAGAAGCAAGTTCGAAATCTCATGAATATTTCCACGATAAAAATGAGATTTGAGAGGTTCTCTGCTAGCTCTCGTAGTGTGTATGCTTTTTTTCAGACCAACTTGATCAGAAATAATACTCTTGCTTAGTTTGGTGCTAGAAAAAGTACCATTTCTGATCAAGTGTGTCCAACAAATTTTTCAGTATGTGTTTTCCGTAATGCACCATTTAATCGTCGTTGTGATTATTGACTGGTTGACTGATTGTCAAAAACAGAGTTGGATTTTTTTACACGGTATGAGGTATAAATTAATACGAAATTATATTATCATAACATATGTGACTTTTTTAAGGCGACGTCGGAGAAAAACGTGAAAGAGTCTGCCGTAATGCACTCAACCCGAATCATTTGAAGTTAAGAAAAAAAAATTGCTTCAATCAGTCTATACTAATACAGATAGTTATTTCGTAGATAAAACCATAACACGAAATGAAGTGAGTTTATGACTTTGTGAATAAAAATCTGTTTTTCGGTAATTATTTTCTATTACTATAAGACCAAAGTACCGTAATGTATGAATCTAGTGTGTGAAATGCGATTGTACGCTTAGCGTACAGTACGCACAATTGTTGTCACCACGCAACGAATCGTTGATGAAGTTAGATAAAAGTGCGTGGTAATTACAAGAATGAGCAAAATGCTTATTACATTTTGTGATAGTATGTGGAAAATTTGTAATAATCACACTTTTTTAAGGTGTAGTCTAGTAAGTATTTATGATGGAAACCATGCAGGAAGTAAGGGCCAAGGCACACATGACTAGAGACTCTTTAAGATAAAAATATGCGATTCCTTTGAAATACGAGAAAATATTATTTTTTCTACCATCAATAGTAAAACTATTTTGTTTGGAAGACAAAATTTTTTAAAAAAAGCTTATTGGCGGAACTCGATGTACCTCTAAAATCTAATTTGTATTTTAACCTGTCTTCTGAAGTTAAATTTTTGTACTGAAAATACTTGGAGTGAAAACTTGAATTTGTTGCATACTATCACAAAATAACTTTAATGTATCTATGGTATATTAACCTTTGTTATCAAAGAGAGCTCCGATCTTGCCTTAAAAATTATTGTACTCTCTGAGTTGCGATAGTTTGTGTGAAAAATCAAACAAAAACGAAAAAAAAGTAAAGCTTATTGGCGTTGACACGTGATATATATTATTAACACATTTTTAAATCTTGTTCTGTATGTACGCTCTTCCCGATTGCAAAAATGCGCTTATATATAATATTTATAATGATAAAGTTAACTTATAATATAGTTATTATAATTGCAAATAAAAATTAACAAAATGATAAATCTATATATCATTCCGAAACATAAAATTTCTTCTAACAACGTAGTTTCCGATTATCGTTAAAATTTTTTATGTAAAAAACACGACTTCAAAAGAAAACAAGTAAGTAAATATTAGAACGACAAAAAATACGATCTAATTTATATACACAACTTTATGATAATATACTCTCTGCATATTCATACTTACTACGTATTCCACCAATGGGAAAAATGTTTATCAAGTATTTTGCACGCACGCAATACAAAAATAAAGCCTCAAGCTGTATTTTTGTTCACTAAACTAATTACGAAATAACTTAATGTCTTGGCAGTTTATCTCTATAGAGGGCACGGGAGGAAAAGGTTGTTTTGTAATGATGATTAACTTTTTTACTTCTTTTTTTTAAATCCAAGAGTTTTGAGTGCTCTTACTGGTTAATTTTTATAAAGTTCCATTTAATTTTTTTGAGTAAAAGAAGAGAAAAGCGTAAACCAGCCAACGCCCTTCGATCAGTATAATATGTTAAGAGAACGTGGTGAAGAGATGTTACGCTGATCGGAAGGCGTTTGCCAGTTAATAGTTTCCTTCTCCTGCGCTTAACAAAATTTAATGAAATTTCGTAAGTTACTTAAACTAACCGAGAATGATCACACAACTCTTGGATTTGAAAAAAAAAGTAAAATTCTTTGAACGTGTAAAATTTCTTGATGAACATGCTTGAATAGATCACTGTAGACCATCACCACAGACATATGTTTTTCGAAAAACTTTTTGTTTGTTATTCATTTATCAACTGTATCATGTAGCATTTAACTCCTATACAAGATTTATTAAAGCTTATCACTACCACTGGGTTTATTTATTGCCTTCTCCCACAAACTCCTAACATCACTTTTATTGCATGATTTATAATGCTTAGATCTCACGGTCATTTTTAACTTAAAAATGTCATTTCACTCTATTCAAATTTTCCTTATGCTATTAATTGCAATTGCTGATCACGTTCGGTAATATGGTGCTCCACTGTACGTGGACATCGGTATTATATTCTTGGACAAGTGCCGAGCATCTCCTTGGTCATACTCGACATCGTAGTATATACCACTTTGATTCTGAAATGTAATTCATCATTTATTAGAGAACTCTGAAGTTTATATATTTTTTTTAAACGTATAAAACTGTACATTTACAGTATTTTGTCTTGTGGACCAGTCAAACGAAATATCAAAACCCTTATTTCAAATATGAAATATGTACAAGTCAGTTTGGCTGCTTATTGATATAATATGCTGGTGGCTAAAAACAACAGTCAACAACTTCAAACTCACAAATACAACAATAATTTTTAATTAATTTACTAAGTAATGAGGAACTGAGGTTTGTTTTGTGTCCATTTTTAATGCCTAAAGTATAGCACCCTATGAATAAAAAATTCTACGACTTCAGAATTTATTTTCTTTAACTCCATCGGTCACTGAAATAAGTACCTTATCAAAGAGTTTGCAAACATATATTACTGTCTGAGACCTATTGATGGATTACAAATATGTTGACGGATTCCCCAATTTCCTTTGAAAAAATTTCTTGAATAAATACCGATGATAATAAAAATACTTGTAATTTTAATGACATTAAAAAAGTATAAATAATTATAAACAGGGCTAGTAAATTATGTGAGGGCCCTTCTGCTACTTATTTTGGATGAGATAAGTTGTATGAACAATATTGGAATCACCAGCAAATCATGGTATTAGGAGATGCATTGAAAATACACCAGCAGTTTAGGCTCAGGATTACAATAAGATATGCATAATTACAAGTTGATCAGAAAAAGATTTCGTTTGAGTAATTACGTAAGCTACTATTTCTCACCCAATTTTCCCATAAGTCCAAAAATAGGATAAATGACCTCGAAAATTTTGTCAAATATAGATGAAACATGACCTCTTAATGTTCAAAGATTTTGATTCCAGAAACGTAGAATAAAATGGCCCAAAAGAAATACGGAAGGATGCATCACAATGCCTGTGATAGTAAGACTATAGATGATACGAAATTTTGAGAGGTCAATATTGGACATAATCTTTTGTACATGCAAGAATCTTACATCATGAACTCAAGGGTGGACGGTAATTGAAGACGATAACGGCAATGATATGCAATACATCATTTTCATCATTTGCAACGGAACATCAAGGCAAGGAATAACACAAACCAGTCACTTTTATACCAAGAAAGAACCAGTAGAATGGAAAGGTCAAATCTATTGTTAGAACAAGGTACTTGCAGAACTAAGGAAATAATGTCTCGAATACAAACATTTTTCTTAACGAACTAGAAACAAATCGAAGGTCAAATAATGCGTATAATATCAGCTTATAAGAAAAAGAAGTGGGGTGCAATTACAAAGATCAAAGAATTAACAAAAGAAGGTGGATTTCATTACCAAAATAGTATAGAATAGTATTTTAGATTTCACGTATACCCATTAGCAAGTTTTCACGTATATCACTAAATCCCTGAATTCTACCATATCCTTGTTAATTTTATCACTCATAACCCTCCTTTTTTTCTAAGTACGTTAGTCTTTAGGGCGGCCCCCTTGCAAAGTTTCCCTCAGACGACTTGGTCAGTTTGATAAACATTTTTTGTTCTTATTTTTTATTAATTTACTATAATTATTTTGCGTAAATATATGATATACTATAAACTGTTAACAGAACTTACGGCCATAGATACACGAGATTTAGGTCGAGGTGCTGTGAAATTGCTTTGAGGAATGAGATCAGCGCGATCTTTGTCTTGAGGTTCAGAATCTGAACTGTCAGGTTCAGGTGGTTGCCGTGGGTGATGCCTTTGCCGAGCACGTGGTGGTGGTGCTTGCAATCGCGGCAATGGCACCGGTGGCAACGTTCCATGCAAACTCAAAGTTGGGTAGCCGAACATTGCAGAGCTCGGCCTAGTTGGGCCCATTGGTTCTGTCTATTGAATAAAGTACAAAAATACATTTGCATTTATCATTCAAATCACCATAAGAAAATATTATTAGAACTGCATAATGATAGTGTCTTACTGCATATACATTAGCAGTGGCCAAGTGGTCGGCAACTTGTGCCCACATGTAAGGAGGAAGGTTCGATGGTGGTCCTTGTTTGACAGAGGCTAGCGTGCCGACTGATCCTACGCGTGCTGAAAAATCTCATGTTTACATCAGACATGTACTTACTTACAGTTTTGATAAGTTATTGATGAAAAAAAAAAAACTACCTGGTAACGTGCCGGGAAGACCACCTTGAATGTATCCGTAGACGGGAGATAGGGCCTTTTGCTCTCTTGACCATTTGCGACTAGAGCATAAAAGTTTGCATATTATAAAAGATATGCCAATATCTCTTCTATAGTAATTCCAACTTATTTGTTGGATGAAAAAATATTTCTATGTATTTTTCATCGTATTAGGGAAGTCAGAAATCAAATAAAAAAATGTATGTATACCTCCACATAATCAGGCACACAAGCGTAAAAACGATGACGACTAAAGCCAGAAATGAAGCTCCTATCGCAACACTAAGAACCTCTCCGTCTACTTCACACTGGGAACCCCAGAAACTTCCAGTACATCTAAAATGGATTAACAAAATCATGAAGAAGATTGGCTTTCCATTCTTGTGTTTTAATTTTCAACAGTAACATATGCGACTCACGAGCATTGCATTTGATCTCCTTGATAGGAACATGTCCCCCGATTATTGCAGTGAGAAGTTGGACAGGATAGACACGTTCTACCGGACACCAACTGGTCATTCTTGTGAGGATCCTTAAGTCCTGGTTTACAGTTACAAGTAAAACCACCCCAGGTATTGGCACACGTTGCTTGAGCATGACAATCGTTAAGCTCGTTAGACGCGCACTCGTCCAGATCTATTTATCCAGCAAAGCATGTCATTTTAATAAGATTATTTGACATATAAAGCAAATGTTCCATGTGATAAAAGTAATGCATACCTTGTAAATTAGATATCGAACCAGCTGGACTTTCTACGTACAGCGCGCTCTTTCCGATGTTGTTGTACCTCCTCTGTATGACGCCAAGCAAGTGCTTCTGTAATTCTCCGGCCAGACTTTGCCTTGCCGTCCTTGGTTCATAGGCCAGTTTGAGGGTAGCGTTTACGAAAACACCACCCTGACCCTGACTAACATCTCCCTGGTAGACATTGTTTATTTGCGATCCGACGTATTCATCCGAGAATGGAGTCATTGACATCGCTGATTCAATCTTCGAAACAGTTTTAAATTTAGTTCTTTCTTTAAAATCACATTTGATAATATGAAATGAGTATAGTGTCTTGAGTTTGAAAGCTTACAGCTCTGTTAGACTCGAAATCCAAGATTTGATAGTTCTCGGAATCCTTGTCGCTGAGGTCTTTATTCCATACCACCTTCTTGTCGTAAATCTTGTCAACTCGAATCGAAACAACGATACTAACGATTCCTAAAAACCGTTTGAAATTTTGTAAATATTGAACTATTGTATCAACTCATAAAGATTTTAGTAATTATTAATCTAAATCAGCAGAAAATATTACGTTTGCAAGGCAGAGTGTGTAACAGCCTGGCAAAGCCCGGTTTGCAATGACAGGCCGAGACGCCATGTACGGTGGCGCAAGTCTCGTGCTGACTAGCATCACAAGTGCTCGTGTCGCCCACGATGCACGTGTCGATCCTCACTGGTGGCTGAGTTGGCCTCCGATGAAAGATCGGACGGCGTATCGCACCAGTTGGACGTGGCGATATTGCACTGCCAGTACCTGTCTCTGTTTGCTGGGGTACAGCATACCTATGCATAAATGTACTTGTTATTTATCAAATAATATATTATATCTCATAAAATTGTTCAGATTAATTTATTTGATAAGTCAAAAAAGGTACCCTGAGCCAAGAACAGGGACATTTTGGGTTCTGGTTGGTTGTGGTTGGACTTTACTAGGATCAATTGATGCTGCGGTATTATCGAACAAATTCAGATATGTTCGTTTGCCGTCAATGCTCACAAAGCCCTGACCTTCCACTGGTGACGTTAGTATATCATCAGCACCGTTAGGATGACCATTTAATGGTACTCTAACTTCACCTATTTGTTTATGCAAAAATGGTACAGATAACATACGTTTTTGTTATAAAAACGAGCATTAAAGAAAAGCAATAATATTTTACATACCAGTACCAGAACCACCAGGGCCCTGTATAGCCGATACCACAACGTCGAAAGTATTCGGATTTGATGGGTGTCGAGGTGGTCCGTACGGTCTTTGAGTAATTAATCCTTGAGTCCCTGTGTAATCTAAAGTATCGTCCAAAACAATGCCTGGACGTGGCCTATAAGAGTAAATGGAACCTAGAATGAAAGAATTAGCATTCACAGTGAAAATCAATAACTAACGAATTTTACGCAAAATAATTCATGTTACATACTCTGTCCTTTAGAGAAGGTAATCGAATTTGTGATAGGCTGGTCCAGTCTTGATGGTACAGTCGACGTCTTCGCGATATTCATTGTCAAACCATCGGTTGGCGTTGACACACTTGACGATAGGTCTGCCCCTATGATCAACGATCGACTGGGTTCTAAAGTTATGGTTGACGTGGATGGCATCAAAATTGTTGAAGAAGTTACTGATTCCGATAAGTCACTGTGAATTGCTGGCCTCACACTTGGCTCTAAAATTGTCGTTGACGTTGTTTCGATCATTCGGACCGAGGAGCTTGTTTCAACTTTTAAAGTTGTCTGAAAGACGGCTTTGTTGCTTGACGTGGATATTTTGGAGCTCTTATTTGTTTCTGCAAAATGGATTCTTTTTAACTATATCATAAAGTTAAGTATAAGTTTAAAAAAATCATCAGTTGATCATCAAACTTAAAGGCCACATGATGTATTTTGTAGATGTTAAAAGGTTTTGTGAAAATATTTCGAAAATTTCAGAGACAGATAGAGTTTAAACATAATGTTTCTGTAAAATTTTTATATTAAAGTTTGAAAATAATTTTATTGATGGAATTAATATGTTTCTAAGAATTTAATTTCTTTATATGTACTCGGTGTACTGTTTGAACGCTAAAAATCATGTAACCAAATTATATGTAAGGAGGGTGGTCAAACAAGACATTTCCTGTGATATCAATTCTAAGTTATAACTTACGAAATGTCTCAAGAAGGTGGAAACAGCCATTTTAGTGTTGGATTCTCTAATTGTAATTCCAAGTTGATTTTGCATTATTAGATACATTGCAAAACTAAGGTTTTTATTTTGAACGATCCAAATTAATATACCAAACAACAATTGCACTGGACTTTTTTCTTCCCGGTGAAATTTTCATATTCTATCATAAGTACAAGTAAGAGCTGGATCGATTTTAAAAATATTAATTTTTTTATCGAATAATCTTAATTTAAGTTAACTTTGGTTCCAATGAAAGGAATGAAGCCCTATTAGTCTTCTGTCTGTCTAGAATTAACGCACGAATAAAATTCTGATACTGCTGATTATTTTATTTCTGAGTTAAATCACTCAATTAATAAATGCACGAGCGCATAGAGATCTTGCAAAGTGGCCTAAACCTGAATCTGCTCGAGTAGAGGGAACAATAGCTCCTTCATCTTGGAGAACGCGCACAATTCGCAAAATTGAAGGAGCAGAAAAAATGGAAGGAAGCCATAATGTGGGATTAGCATTCAGGCCATCGCGCGGATCAGCAAACAATGATCGTCTCATTACATACCGTTGGCTTCCGCGACGTCGCTCCCAAGCGGAACGACAGGCTTGGGCAACTCTTCGCTGTTGTCCGTCGCGTTTGGAATGGGCAGAGCCAACGGAGGTACTCCACCCAGCACCAGAGTGTTCTCAACCATAACGTTTTTCGTGTTCAAAGTGGATTGGTACTTGCGCGTTGGACCAAATTGGGGTTGTTTATGGGATGATGTCGCGGTTGGTAGCGTCCCCGAATGGTTAGCTTGTTCGGAACTAGTTGTCACGCGCGTCCGGTTTTCTTCTGAATTTTGTTTTTGATGTTGGTACTCTTGCTGATGGTCAACTTTATTGACCAGATCCAACACTGCGTTTGTTTTGTCGGACTCGATCTGATCGCGATCAGATGATGGTTTTAGAGTCCCGTTGACCGGAAGTTGAGGCTTGTACACTGGTATCGGACGTCTTGTTCCTGTTCAAATGTCATTAGAGTTAAAGAGAATAAGATATTTTTGTAAAATACCTCTTGCATACTTGATGCACAATAAAGTTTGGAAAACTTCAATTGCATGTGTAAAAAAATGTGATTTCCGTAGTAAATTATAACTGTAAAAATTTTATTATTTATTTACGTTACAAGTGCGGAAAAGAAGATTTCCCGCACGAGTTCCGATTGACGCGCAAAAGTGGCCGAAGTTGCTGGGAACGAGTGCCAGTTGAGCACACGAGTGCGTAGCACGAGTGTGATCGCACGGCATGAGCTCCTGGCATCAGCCACGAGTGCGAGTTAATTACACAAGTGCGTTAAATCGTCTGCACGAGTTATGTACAAGATTTTTCGTAATATGTGTGAGGAAAATTGATATACATTTTGAAATGAGTAATTTAAATAATGACTTTGAAGCTTATACACTTTGCATTACTTATCTATACGAGCTGGACATAGTAAATATTAATATAATGAATTTTAATTTATTAACAGCGGGGGTCCAGGGGGCAAAGCCCCTAGGGGGGGCAGAGGGGTGAAGCCCCCTTCGCTCCAAAAAATCAAATGATCGATCTTTTAAATAAAATTTTACAATCATTTTTTAAACAAAAAAAGTAAACTCGATGGAATGAGGGTATCATTATAAAAAAAATACCCAGAAGGCAACATTGTGCTAGGATCTGTCTTTGCGAGAACCAAACTGACTAAATTATCAATTTATTGGCTGTTCAACGCTACAAATAAAATAATTGTTCTTCAAAAAAATACATTTTTGTTTTTTAAAAACTATATAAATAAACAAACCTAATGTCATTAAAATTTTATAATTTCATTTGAAAAATGTTGTGTTTTACTGTGTCATTAATTAATGTTAAAATTAAATGGAATATATTTACTACAGTTTCAAAAATGTATAAACAGAGTAGGTGCAAGTTAGTTTTACTGAATTCCACAATATTCTATGTGTATTAAGGATTTATAAGTTACATTTCAAATAACGTATTATATTTCGTCAACTTTTTAAAAATTTTCGTAAATACATTTTCAGGCGTGGGAAAAAATATTTTTCGCACACTGGAAAACATTTTCCGTGCACTACAAATAGTGTGGAAAACACTTATTTTCCGCACGCTATTACCAAAAATATTTTGTAGTTCAGCTTAGTTTCCAAAATCTCATTGTTATTGGTTTGCTTTGAAAATAAAAAAAAACTACATAAAAGAATTGAAATAAACATAGAAATTCAAGTAAAGTATAATGCGTGGTGGAGCTAATTACCTAATTTGGTTGGTCGGTTCCATGGCAGATTGCTTTGAGGTACAATAGATTCTGGAATTGGGATGCCAGTCAGGAAGGGAGAGCCAGACCGATCAGGGAGCAACTGGTTAAGAGATGGTACACTCGGTGCTGGTGGCTTTTCATAAGTTGAGGGTTGATCTGGTGGAGGTGGTGGTGGATTCATTCCTGGAGTATCGAAGTCTGGAGGGATCGGAGGTAGATCCGAGATTCGTGGTGGTCCTCTGTTGTTAATTCTAAAATTAAGGATTTTTTAATAGTATTTTTTTTTAATTATTCAGTTTTTATTTTGATTATTTTACAAAAATCTCGATATTCTATGAAGCCTGTGTTTAAATACGACGAATTGAATTATGTCGTGTCAAAACTTGTTTCAACAGTAATAACTAATGTTTCCCAAATATATTTTTGAGATTGAGTGTGAAAGTTTGAAGTATTGAACGTCTTTTCTTCCTGTTTAAAATAAAAAAAAAAAAAAATTTTTTATAAATACAAGACGGTTTATTACGAAGACGACTTGTGACATTTTTTACTAACGCCAGACAAATGATTTATTTAATCGGTTTAAATTCTATATTGAACGAGAATACCGTCGATATTTTCACAAACCTGGATTCAAATGGGCTAGTCGCAATATCATCGCAAATACGGAGTGTTTGTGCTGGTAAAATACTTATAAGCAGTCATTACCGTAATACATCTAATCTTGATCGTTTTTCCAACAATGGACTAGGTAGTCATAGCGTACAAAGACGTTTAACAAGCAGATTTACCAAATCAGATATACGACCGAATTTCGTGAAAAATTCTCATTTGGGACTTCAGAAATACTCAAAAAACTACCAATGTTCTTTAAAAAAAACATTTTTCAATCGAATCAAATTAACGTAGGCACGTTAACATAGAAAAAGTAATTAAAAATCTCTAAACACTGAAATTACAAAATCTCATTTTACATCAGCTAAAAATACACTGATTTTTGCGAAATAACCCATCCACATGACGTTAGAAAAAATACGATCAGATTACAACTAACATTTAAAAATAAGTGTCAATTATTCCAATACTAATTGAGAATTATCAGTCGGAGAATTCACTCGTTTGAAATTCTCATTGGACGAATAACGGAAATCATCGATAAAGGGAACAAGGTGTTCTATAAAAAAACAAGGTGTAAGTAGCCGACCTGGTGCTCTGCACCGGCCTCGTAGGTTTGGCCGAGTTGACAGCCACGTTGACCTTGCCGTTGAGCAGCTTCACAATTCCGGTGATGATGTCCTGAATGTCCGGATTGGCCTGCCTCTGCTGTCCACTCGGATGCGAGACGGAATGCTGAGGCGGTGGAGGCGCGTGCTCGCTAAAGATCCTCGTGGACTCGCCTCGTCGCCCCTGCCGCAGCTGCGACCTGTTCTCGTCCAGTCGGATCTGGGAAGCCTGTGCTTGTCGCTCCTGGGGCTCCGACCACCGAGCGTCCTCTTTTATCGGACGCTGGCCCCGCGGAGCCCCCTGGTCTTCCCCCGACAGGTTTTCACTTCGGGTTGGAACGATGTTTCTGTTTTGAAGTCAAATTTTTAACATTTACAATGAGCTAATTGTAAGATGCTCAAGATAATTTTAATCGATAGATCAATCCTTTTTTTTCAGATTCACGTCTTAATGAAAAAAAAAGTCATATTCCCTAAAGTGAGGGCAAAGGTGTTGGACATCATCATTTTCTAATAATCTCTAATCAAATCAACTTTTGTAGTGCTTTACAAGAACAATTGTAGTTGAAATAAATATTATTTTTGTCTTTGATTTTAATGCGTTTCATTTAATCAACAATTTCACGATAATAATGAAATTCTCAAAGAACAATGTGCGTTTCAACAGGAATTACATCCTAGATTTGATTGTCTCGTGACTAAGGCATTTTTTTTATTTTTTGTGCCACTAGTTTAAACGAATCAACGTTATCAGTTTCATGGTGTTTTAAATAAAGCAATTACATTGAATTCCAGTAATACTTGATATTTTAAAATGTATAAGCTGACGAAAGGTTGGATGTGATTATAGCTCATATTTTTATAGATAACATGCAAGTTTACAAAAACTAAAAAATTAAGCAAAACTTTGTTTTTTTTAACTAATGTGGTATTACTATTGTATAATAATATAAAAAAGTATTTATGTTGATTGTACATGTGATCACAGTATTTTCAATTGAGCCAAACGCATTTAAAATTACCATAGTTCAAAGAAAACTCGTACTGGCGCGATCAATATAAAATAATATCAAAGTTGGAAAAATGTAAAAGTGCAAAGAAAATCGTCCTAGCAGTCTGATCACATAGCTTATAATATATACGATCAAATACCTCATAAAGAAACGCCACGATAATTTAGCCTCATTGACAATGCAACCACTTAAGGTGGCTCCAGCGCCTAGTGCCGTATCAAAATGGGGAGACTAAAAATTAATAATTATTTCCTTTAAAATATGGTATAAAATTATCGTAGAGACTGTCGTAAGCCATATTCTACATTTTATATGTTACTTTAGTGAGTTAATATAAAAAAACAAAAAAGTTTTATGGTGCCCTAATTGATGAACTGTTACGGTACGCTCCTAAGTTCAAGATTAGTTATACCTATATATATGTACTCTGCAGAATGCAGACAGCTGAGAGCTGACTTGCACTCGCAACTGTATACTTAGTCTCCGATTATTTAAAGATTTTGTTCGATAACAAGACACTTTTCTCATGTCATCGAAAACTGCGTAATAATAAATACAAGATAGTATGTTTTTTACACCTTACGGGTTATTTATATAAGTGCAGCAGTAGGTTGTATATCGCGTAAGCTTGCATTTCCTATCTAAACAATTTTATTAACCTCGGTTGGGTTATTTATAATTTTAACATTAAGGCCACTGGAGCCACCTTAAAGAACACCTGGCCTACAGCTCAATAGGGAAAACGACAAACTCCCAACCTGATAACCATTGTACTCACTCTTTGAAAGCGAACAAAATTACAGGACATAGACGATGATTACCTGTAATACTCGCCAGGCTTGACTTCAATCTGGTTGCCATCGATCTGATCGATGAGCTTGGACGAGGTGAGGGCATCGACGGCCTGCTCGTCATTGAAAGTCGTCGTGGTAACCGGCTCGGCTCGGCCAAGGGACGATGGATACTTGGTGGCGTCGAGCTCGAGCTCCGGTTCGTTGTCATCGTTGTCCAAGACGCTGCGCGAACTCTCGAGCCGTAGAGCGTCACTCGTTCTCTGTAGGCTCGAGCTACCGTGCGACTGTAGCTGCTCGTCCGAGGTGCGCTCGGCGTAGCTGCTTGCGCTTAGCACTGGGTCGTCCGTAGGTGAGGCACGCCGGCCAGTGCGGTCGTTTTGGATACCCAGTACTCCTGGAAATTCCAAAAATCAAGATCTTTTTTATGTCGACTGGGTGTTTGCGTACACGAATAAGAGAACCCCCCCTGACATGAAATAGAACCCAAGCCAGAATTATAATTGGAAATGGAATTTTTTTCAAAGTGTTTAATTCATACGACTATAAGTACTGATAAAATATTCTCAATTTACCACGTTTTAGTTTTTTTTTTTATTTTTTCACATGAAAAGCATGCAGTTGTAAATAGAAGCATATAATATGTACTCTTGACCAAGGATATCATGGTCGTGATGTATTTACGTATTTTCATCATTTAGCTCAAACGACGCAGTTATAAGGATGTCGGAATATTGATTTGAACAAATACGATTTTAAAAAATATTTTAACATACGTGCCAAAGGTGGATAAAAAATAAAACCAAAGAAAATTTTAATCGGTACTTTTTAAAAGAACGCAGGCAACAAAAAATCAAGTATATTCCATAGGTATTGCTATGATTAATTTTGTGATCTTAATTATCGTTCAGTCGTAAGATTCTCGCATAAACTAAAAATTACAAGAAAAGGTGTGGTACAAATGTATGTATGGATGGAATCGTCAAAAAATTTCAGCCCGAGTCGCCCCGTTTCTATACTTCCTGGTTTAGAGTATGATTCCCAGTTTTATAGCAAGGGTAGGTAATATTTTCGGCAGAAAGTCATGTCTTCGAATTTTGTTCACAGTTACTGCAGCTGACAAGAAATGGAAGTGGTAAATAAAGAGATCCGTTCGAGGCGTGTGGGCCTAGCTATAAAAATCGACTTTAGCCGGCCGGTCGAACGGTACATCTCGTAGGGCACTTCTTGGCATTCCAAAGATGGAATAGTTTCTGCTGCTGATGCTATGTATAAGTAGGTACGTGAATATTGTGAAACGTGTACGTGTGAAATTTACATAGCCAAGTGATACATACTTGCGTTTGCATACTTTTAAGTATACACATACTATGTATGTACCATACCTATATGTACATGCGGCTTTTGCGGCTTTACAGCTGGGATACAAAAATGACGAAACTTCCGTGATAAAATCAATTATTTTACATATTTATTGACTGTAGTGCGTTTCTTAACTATTGATTATTGTTTTGCATATTTGAGTAATTCGATTAAGTGAGTTAACATTTCAAAAATATCATATTTTAATTTCAAAATGATCTTGTATCTAGTTGTTAAGATAATAACACATAAAGTAGAAATAAAATCATGAAATAACAGTATATCACGAAAACTGAAAATTCCAATACTTCTTAGTTAAGTTACTAGTAGAATAGAATAATGATAAAGTTAAATTATACCGATTTTAAATATTTAACAGTACTTCAAACACACCAAAAGTTTAATTATTCTTTGATTGATGTTTTTTTTCCTAATAGATGGCGTACCTCTCGTGATCCATCTGCCTTAAGGATGAATTTGGCACAATCATGGATGTACTCGCATGTTTTTTTTTCCTTTATGCATAAGAAGAATAACTCATGTCTAGAGGTTTTCATTTAAAAATAAAAAAATATGATTAAACAGAAAGTAAGTATCCAAAAATTGAGGTTAATAAAAATATAACAGCAATAATTAGTACATGACTGATAGTATTGTATTATGATTGTATTATGCATAGCAGTCTCACAGCGGTAACAGGATGTTATGTGTAACATACATACATTTCCTAATGAGTTCTCAAGACTTAATTAATTTGTTTAAAGCAGCACATGTGCACTGATACGTATGGGATATATTACTCAGTTTGATGAGTACATTGACCAATGACATATGAATAGATACTTTGGCAAAATAATGGCTTTGTAGATCGTTGGTGAATTATTTGTAAAATTGAACCGTATTAACGATTCGAATATTCACAGTTTTTACAAATTTCAACTCTTGATGTTACTTAACAGGTAAATTTTAACCTATTATGTCTCTGTTAAGATTAAAAATAATTATTGTTTGGTAACTGAAATTGAATTTTATTTAATTTCAATTGTCTGTTATTAAATGTGTTTTCATCCTGTTTTAATTTTTATTTAATACTCAGAATTAGTGAAATTTAGAAAACAACCTTTGACTATTCATTCAGAGTTGAGATAACCCATGTATAATTAATCATGGAAGAAATCAAAATCAAAATATCTTTTTTTCATCAATGATGTAAAGAATACCTTCAACCAATTTACAAGAAATCTTTTTCAACAAAAGTTGCGTATTGTTTGACAAATCATTGTACTTACATTTAAATAATTATTTATCGTAGTTTAAAGGTAATATTATCACGATATACGAAATTAATTCTTAACACTGATACTTTCTACTCTAAGTGGGATTGTAGTATTTTTTTTTGTCCTAGACAATGACTAAGCTTATAATTAAAAATATAATGTATTTGAAAAAATATATAAACAAAATAATGTATACTACCGTCTTATTGGACCAGTGATTAATTAAAAAAGTGAAGTACAGTTGTTTATTAAAAAAGTGAAATTTTCAACTTTCTTCACTACCGCATGTACCACAAAAATTAATCTATATTGATCGCTGTACAAATTAATTTAAAAAAATCACAATTAAAAAAAAAATCATGGATTCCCATTAGCGAGCACGACGACCTTACAGAATAACCACGCTTTTTGCAGTGAAAATTCCTGTAAGTCTTATCTTTGCTAGTTGGTGTTATAGTAAATCGCTCGCAATATACCTATAGGTAGTTGAACGGGTCTTTTGCTCCAGAGTAGCGACGACCGCGAAAAACCAGAAACGTGCTCGCTGAGAGGTAAGCCTTCTTCTTCTTCTTCTTACGACATTCTTTTCAAATTCACACACACACACACACACACACACACATACATACATACCCATACACACGTGTGTATAGGTGTATCGCAGAAACACAACGTGATGGACATGACATGGACGTAGACGCGTCCGAGCGTGAACTCGGGGAAGCTCTTCTTATATATTGTCTACCCGTTGCTGGTTGATGCTATACCATTATACCGCACGTTGGATGCTGTGGACATCGAACTGATGAATTTCAACTTGACGTGGGCAATTTCGCATTTCTTTCTCCAATTTTTTCTAAGGAAGGAACAAAAAATAATGCCGCGGTTCAGCTGTTTTTCCGAACTTGGAAGAAAACCGAGAGCCATTCTCGAAGCAAAGAGGAATCTTTGGTACAGATTGTGTTTGGCTTTTTCTTTCGAAAATATATTAATTCTTAAAAAGTTACCTTAACTTTTAAGTTGATTTAACATATCAAAAACTTCGTTTGTACAAACGATAAAGCTCTTTAGAAGTTGTGTATTCTTTTTCATTGACACGAATTATATTATGTACAACAAAATAAAAAGCAGCTGCTTAGTTTTTTCATGAATGTAACAAAAAAAAAAAAAAAAAAAAAAAAAAGAATCAACTAATTATTTCAAATTTTACTTGAAGGTGCTGTTGCAGCTGAAACTTGGAATCGATGTGATTTGTACGTGTAAATACTAAATATTTTTGAAACAATGTTTGGCTGTTGTCCGTTCGTTTCAGGGGTTTCAAAGCTGATGATCCACCAAACGAAATGCCTTTGCCGGTACATGCGATATTTACAATTTCACCCACAAATGATAATGTACACGCAAGCAATGTGTAATACATCCGTACAAAAAACGCTACTGCAGCGAGAGATAGAAAATTAAATCCGAAATTCGTTATCTATACTGCAAGTGTATACCGGTACGTACAGTCTGACGGGAATGGCAGTGGCTCGTGTAATTTTAATTGAATCGTTTTACAATCGCTGGGATAAATCACTTGGCCGACACTTGGTATACGTATATATAGCTGCGATGCAACAGCGGTACTTATTGTCCGTCGTGCGGTGTTTTTTTTTTTCGCTCTGAATCGTTGAGCGTACGGGCGAGCAAAGAAAAATGCATGGCAGCTATTGAAAACGGAGGATACAAAGTGTTTCGTTCCCTTGTAAATGAGACTTTGTGTCCATCAAAAATAACAATAGGCTGAAAACACCTTATCAACACAATTCGAAGGTATAGCAAACAAAAGCTTTCGTATATGTGTGGCATGTGTGTGAATACTTTATAGTCATGTCGTAGTCGATCGTTGCGGGCATGAAATTTTTCTTGCTTTCTTGTTGTGGTTTAAAATTAAAACTTTTCTTTTGCCATCTACTTTTTCTTAATCAATTATGTACTAAACTTATTTGTTTTTTTTATTTTTTCGAGTTAAATATACGTATACAATCGCATTAGTAACGATTGTGTTGTACAAATCATGAAAATTCCTTTCTTTTGATTCGTTCAAGCGGAATTGATTGAACTATTTTTATTTATAAGTGAAAAAAAACTCCATGAACTGAAACAAATATTCATTACTTACATGAAATGTATAGGATTTTCATGCTTACCAAAAATGCACTTTTGGAGGTGCTGATCTTCATGGAATGAATAAGTCATATCTAGTACTAGTCTGAATTTTTGAGGTAGATACTTATGAGAAAGGTTCAAGCAGTACTATTTTCTGTAAGGGTTCATTTGCAGTATTTAACATCCTTTTCTGATATCTTTTAATTAATGTCAAACTTTGGGAAAAGTTTCTTATTATATGCTTGTATATAATCTGTATCTGCTCCAAATTATGTTTTATTTTGTTTTCTACAACGTTACACTAATAGTAACATTGTATTCGATTTTTTAACGCAAAAATTTTTAATACGAAAAGTATAAATTCCTCTAAATCAGCCACTAAAATAACTAAACGTAAATTAAAAATAGCTACATTTTAACGCAACTTTAAATCGTGATTCCTTTCACCAAACCGACAGTGCACGAATCTGCCGTTATTGAATTTATTAATTTCTTATCAATAAAGGTTATTTATATCCAAGAGTGCATTAACACTTAACGGGATTTCGTGCGTGACAGTCGGAATTTATGCGCTGAGTGAATAGTTAATGACTTTGTATGCCGATGTAGAAGCAAGAATTAATAAAAAAATCATACTACGTTTTTTTACGTAAGGTGCTAAAGTTTTTACAAATGCTTTAAAAAATTTTTAAGAAATTTTTAGAGAAAGACAAAACGTATTAATACTTTTAAATCAAATCATTTTCAATTATGATCATGTACAATTGATTTATTTGTCTGTTTTTTATTTTACCTCTTAAATGATACTAGATAAAGACCTAAAGGTCTGTGATTTGAGGTGAAAGCTTACACAGCTAAAGGGCTGTCACTAATTAAATTT